GAGAGCCGAGGAGAAGCTGAGTATGGGAAGGTTGCAGGAGAGCAGGGGAGCAGAAGAGGAGGACAGGAGTGGAGAGTAGGAAGAGGAGGAGAGGAGATGAGGAGGGGAGGAGGGGAGGAGGGAAAGAAAGAGGACAAGACTGACCAGATCCTTGACAACGGGATGGTCCTTGTAGTCAGCCGACACAAACCCGATCCTCAGCTTCCTGCTGCCTTCGCCGTGTGGATTGTGAGCAGCATGGACGATGAGGGGATAGCGGACGAGGGGAAAGGGTTTGAAGTTCTTCCCCACCACTCCACTGACATGGACGGCAGCCTTGTTGGCATGGAAGGAGGCGATGGCGAGAAGCTCCTCGGGCTCGAGGGGATAGGCCAAGCTCTAGCAGGAACGAATCAACAGATGACTTCACCCCAAAGAGGGAGGAAGAGGAGGAGGTAGTGGTGGAGCAGGAGCAGGAGCAGGAGCAGGAGGAGCACCTGGAATGGCTGGACGCACTCGTGGATCAGCGGGTCCTTTCCTTGCAAGTATCCCTTCATGATCTCCCGCAGTCGCTTCACGTGCCTCCCCCGCCCCTCCCAGTGGCAGGCGAAGATGGTGGCGTAGAAGAAGTTGCAGAAGCCCGCTTCGTAGCCCGGAGCAAGCTTAATCCCCTCCGAGTACGCCTGCACTGATAGCCCGATCTGCCGACAGGTGACGGGAGGGCGACGATGAGGAGGATGGGAGGGATGCGAGTAGGAGGAGGGTGGAGGGTGGAAGAGCAAGATGAAGGAAGTAGAAGCGGACAGGACAGAGGCACTTGTGGGAGGAACAGAGGGCGGAGGGGCAGGGGGCAGCAGGTGAAAGATAATCATGAGGAGCAGGAGCAGGAGCAGGAGCAGGAGCAGGAGCAGGAGCAGGAGCAGGAGCAGGGATTACCTGTTCCGAGTCCTTGTAGACGTCTCCGAGCTGGCAGTAGGCTTCCCCGTACTTGGGGTCGATGCGAATGGCCTCCATGCACATGGCCTCTGCTTCCTTGTACCTCGCCTGTGAGTTGAGAACCTTGGCAGCGTTGATGATGGCGGCAGGAGATCTCGGGGACTGGTTGACAGACCGCTGATAGTAACGCAGGGCTGCCTGATTATCCTAGGGCACACCAGAGTTATGCTCCTGTTGCTCCTCCTCCTCTTCCCGCCCTCCTCTGCTCCTCTCTATTTGATCACTTGCTCCTGCGTACTCTCTTTCTACTGCTCCCCCATCTTTGCTTTTCTTCCTTCCTCCCCCCCCCCCAGCAGCCTCTTCTCTCCTTCCTCTTCTCCTCTCTTCCCCTCTCCCTCTCCTACTTTCCCACTTCTCTCCCTTCACTCCCTCCCTCCTTCACTCTCCCCTTCCCTCCAACATCTCCTCCTCCTCACCCCAAGGGCATCCGCCAGCATGCCAAGTGAGTTGTGGAAGCGACTGTCGTCCGGGCGCAGAGCGACAGCCATCTCGAGGAACCTCTTCGCCTCCTCGTACTTCCCCAGGGTCGTGTAGATGTTTCCGAGCTGGAGGTCAAAGTCAGTCTCTCCCTCCTTTGCCGTACTCCTTCCCGCAGTCTCCCCCTCCCTACAGGTTCTGTCGTCGTCCTCACAGCCTCTACCCCTTGCCCCACAGCCCCCTTCCTTTCCTCCCACTCGCTCCCTCCTTCTCCACAGCCTCTCCTGTCCTCCCTCGCTTACTTCCTACCGTGTGGTAGGCATCAGGAAAGTTGGGCTCGATCTTCAGAGACTGATGGTACAGCTTAATCCCTGCCTCCCGGTCCTTGAAGCTCTCGGCCATGAGCACGCCGAAGTTGAAGTAGGCCTGGTAGAGGAGGGGATCGAGAGCTATCGCCTTCTCGTACGCCTCCTTCGCCTCCTCCATCTTCCCCGCCGCGTCGAGAGTCACCCCGAAGTTGACAAACACGTCGGCTCGCTCCTGCTCGTACTCCAGCGCCTCCCGGTAGCTCTGGATGGCGTCGTCGAGGCGGTTCATCCCCCTGAACGCCATGGCCAGGTTGACGCGAGCGTTCACGAACTGAGGAGCTAAAGCGATGGCCTTCCTGTAGTGCCCCACCGCCTCCTCCCATCGCTCTGTCGCCCGTGCTACATTCCCAAGCTTGAAGTGCGGCACTGGTGAAGTCGGAAACTGAGACATCATCTCCTTGATCTGGATGCGGTGGAGGTGAGTTGAAAGGTTAGGGAGCAGGAGCAGGAGCAGGAGCAGGAGCAGGAGCAGGAGCAGGAGCAGGAGCAGGAGCAGGAGCAGGAGCAGGAGCAGGAGCAGGAGCAGGAGCAGGACCAACAGAACAAGCAGGAGCATGGCGCTTATGTAGATGAGGTCACCTGATTCGTCGCAGCCTTGACGTCTCCCGCCATCTCAAGTGCGTCTGCTAGGAGCATCCCAACTTCTCCTCGCTCCTGGGCCTCTCCGTAGGAGTAAGATTTCAGAGCTGCTTCGAAGCATGCGGCGGCAAGCTTGCCGTCCTCCGCACCCGCTCTCTTCATGTACATCTCTCCCGCGCCCCGCTGCTCCTTGGCAGTGCGAAACTGCTCTGGACATCTTCTGGCTTCTTTCGCTGATCCCAGGCAGGCAAGGAGGAAGAGCGGGGAGCAGACAAGCAGGAACCCAGCGGAGACTCCGGTACCTCCACAACGGATCCTCTTCATCCAGACCGTTCACTCACTGCTTCACCGCCGTCTCTTCTTCCTCGTCTCTTCTTCCTCGTCTCTTCTTTCTCGTATCCTCTTTGCCTTCAACTCGTCCTCCTCTCCTCTCCTCTCCTCGTCCTCCTCTCTCTCTCGTGCTCCTCCCTTCCCTCCTCCTTTTCCTTCCCCATCGTGGTCCTCCGAGGAGTCTATCCGATATGTCGGGTTACCCTCCTCCCCACTCATATTTTCAGTCTCCCGGCACTGCAGCGGCACTGCTCCGCCGGGCGCACGGTCCCGCCGCCCCGCGGCAGGTCTCCTGCCGGGCAGTCTCCCGGTCATTTAGCAGGTCATGTGGCCGGGCAGCGGTACTCATCATCGCGGCTGTGGTCATGGCCTGGCCGCGCAGGCCCTCCAGCCCGGGCTACGGTGCCAGGCTCCCGGCCGCCCGCGGCGCCGCCCGGCCGGGTCTGCTGACTGTCTGTGGCACCTCAGTGAGGTTATACCAACGTGACAATTCAAGTTTTGAGTTGATCGGAATCATTTTTAATGATTGACCCTCGAGCCTGACACTGAGCCTCGGCTGAGGGACTCAGAAACCTGCTAACATCATCTGCTTTCTCCATCCTGACTAGAGATTGTCTTCCAGGTCTCCTAGGTCGTCACCGAGCAGTCCAGCCCCCGAGAAGGCTACGGCGGACAAATCATCGTCCATTCCAACAATGTCGCTAGACCTCAGTCCAGGGACAGCCACCTCCCCTTCTGACGGCAAGAGAATCATGAGGAGGAAGCAGCGATTGCAAGCGTGTCAAGCGTACCTTTCAACAAGACGAAAGAAGAGAAGCACACTATGAACACGTCCAGAAATGAGTTCGAGATGATGGCTACGTCACTGGAGAACACCTAACACCACGTCAGGGAACAAGGGCTTGATCTTCGGGTCGACGGTACAAACCTTGGTTCCATCGGTCACTATCCACAGGATCTCTGCCAGCCCGAACCCAACGTAGACAACGGTCGACAGCTTGTTGCAGATCTCGTGATTCCTCTTGCCCCTCCTCTTCGACAGGGACGTTACATCAGCCATCAGCACAGTAACGAGCGCAACGTAGCAGAAGATGCTGAGGATCCAAAACAACCACCTGGAGCCGCCCAGCACCGCCGAGGCAACGAACAGGCAGACGACGCGGCTGACAGAGAAGAACATGAGGGACTGGAAGGGCACAGAAGTGCAGCCGACGACGACGCAGATCTGGTAGAGGAGAAGGGGAGACACGAGGAGCCATGCTAGGTGCCGCACGTAGAACAGGGGGTAAGTCGGAGCTAGCGCGTACTCCTCGTCGTAGAGCGGGTTGGGGTGCGCTTTGTCCCCAGGGGAGGAGATCAAAGAGTCACTGTAGGCCCACTTTGAACTGATCCCTATGCCCGTCTTCCGAAGGACCAGCAGCCCGTTGCCAGTCGCCATGGCCAGGTAGCAGATGCCTGCGATGGTCATGATGAAGAAGGCATTCTGCAGGAGATCCTTGACCACGAGGCTCGGCGCTGACCTGCTCTTGAAGAAGAAGTAGAAGCTGCAGGCACAGAGGATGACAAAGGAAGCATAGAGGACGATGACACCGACTGGAGTGACACCCGAGACATTCAGAAGGTTGCGAAAACTGAGCGACCTCCACCCTTCGAACATGGCTTCCTTGAGCACGGCCACTGACAGGCTCCCAGAGCACAGCTCGTTCGACCCATCTGTCCCGGGGTGATAGAAGGTGAGGTGCGCGCTAGTCACGTTGGGGCATATCCTCTTGTCACAGTCTACCGCCACCAGGTACCACAGGTGCGCATGCTGCCCCTGGAGCTGGCGGGATCCTTGCACCCTGCCATCGCCACCGGGAGAGATCACGGCCTTGGCGTACTGCGAGATGGAGGAGCAGGATCTGTTTGCTACTGCGTCTGTCCAAAACTTCCCATACGCGTTGTCTTCATCGGCGAGGAGGAAAAGGGTGACTGAACGTCCAGCACCAGGTGCGACATCGAACGAGATGGACGCAAGATCCTTCTTCGCGTCTGACGCGTCCATGCCGGGGACACAAAAGGTGCCAAGGAGGGCTGAATGCTTGCCGAAGCACACTGGCCATTTCACATTGATGTCCGTGTGCTCGGAGTCTGTGTTACTGATCGAGTAGGAAGGGATATGAAATCCATGCGCCAGCGACAAGAAACCGCCCGTTCCTCCTAGGACGCTGGCGCTCTTTGCTATGGGCGCATCTTCAGCCAAGATGGCATGACCTGTCAGCCTCAGCAGCAGGAGGAAGGTAACAGCTCTCCCTCTCCCTTCCCTCATCCTCGCCATGCCATGTTCCTGCTCTACGTGTACTATATTAGACTCCTCATCCCCACCTGCAGTCCAGATTAAGTGAAAATATCAGTCAAGTTGTTCGGCGCCGGCCGGTCGGGCCCGGACTCCGGGAATTCAGCCGGTCGTCCCCAAATTTACTGAGGAGGCCCTGTAAAAGTTTTGACTTGGTACTACCGGTGTTGGGGAGTCATAAAAGAGGGGTATTTTTCTCAGGGGGGGGTGGGCCTTCTTGGGGAATCCTCATATTGCGATCACAGCAGTCTGAACTTCGAGGTATGTGTAGGAGGGGTGGGGTGATGATTTCAATGGGTAGTGGAAATGAAGGAGGGGTGGTGTTACACTGATTTGAGGTGGTAGGTAATTTAGTGGGAGCTCAGGTACTTCATGACCATCTTTTCATGTATCAAAAGTAGCGGTCATCAGGTGCAATTGTGGGGTACATTGGGGCACAAAAGGCGGAGACCCCTTGTAGTAGGGTAGGGGTATAGACGTAAGAATTTAGTGGGTAGGGTCATGTTGTTTATGCGAGCGGTGGGGTGCTCTCCAGGGATCCGTCCATGGTGATGCAGCTGTGGCAGGCGGTAAGAGAAGCCGGCATGCAGATTCTGAGCCTCAGGAGTTTTCGATCACATGAAAGTTGTTGTCGATGCCGATGATATTGTTTTTCTTGAAGCCTCACGAACCCTCCTTGTTCCATGTGCTGTGTTTTTCTGATCCTTGAACTCTATCTCCGTTATTGCACCCTCGTCCTCAAAGTCGAGGGAGTCGTCTTCTGAGATTGCACTTACAGATTCTTCCGAGGACCATCCTCGTCGTCATCTTGCTAAGTGGAGTTGAAGCATTCCATGGAAATGTCATGTTCCGCGGACTCCCGCATCATAAGGGGCTCTCCCTGCGATCAAATCGCCCCAGCTCCTTTTCTCTCGCCCCGACCTGCACCGGAGGGTCGGGAGGAGGAGGAGTTCGAGCAGGTATTCTGTTCAATTCTCACACTTGATGTATATGTATCGAGATCTTGCGGAAGATTGACGCCTGCTCCCATACAGGTGGCAGCGGAGGCGGTGATGGCGGCGGAGGTGGCGACGATGGGGATAAAGGGATCCCCCAGGATGTTCTTGCCTTGCTGGCCAGCAAGAAGATCGCCATAGGTCAAGTTCCAGCTGATATCCTTGCAGCTCTGAAGGCAGGGCGTGCTGGGACGGCAGAAATCAATGCATGGATTCACCTGCAGAGCAATGCTATCTTGAAATTCTTCTCCTCGGTGTCCGCTGGGATGAGGGACAGGTTGATCGCAAACGATCGATTTCTGGTTGTCATGGGGATCGAGCTGCTCATAGGCTGTGTGAGCAAGATGGCTGCAGAGATCCGAGAGAGGTCGCAGAGGAACGCTTTCTGGGACGAGTTGGACTTCGTTGCGTCCGATATGGCCCTTGAAATCATCGGAGACTTTTCGCTCGTCTGGCTCCTTTCTCCTGCAGCCAAGTTTGCAGCTGAGCCCACGGGCGGCATCTCAAAAGCCATCTCCTCCCTCCCCTCCCATTTCCTCCAGCCTGGTTCCTTCAGCAAGGCACAGCGATTGGCCTGCTTCGGTTACAAGGCAGCCATGTTCTGGAGTGTTGGAATGTTTGCCTCTCTGCTGGGCCACTCGATGACCAAGTTCCTGCTCGAGGTAGTGACTGGCTGCGTGCTCCTGTTCGATTGACCCACACCCTCCTCTCCGACAGTCCAGAGGAGCTGACACATCGAAGCTTGCGCCTGTTCTTGACAACTCCGTGCAATGGGCGAACTTCATGGGTCTTTCGTCCAATGCTCGTTATCAGGTGAAGATTCTGCCTGACGATTGGCGATCTTGTGACAAGTGTCTTTCAAAGCTTGTGAATGGATGGGAAGCTAACATAGTTCCCAACATACCTGGAGGTGAAACCAAAGGCACTCTGTTTGCTATCCCCTGTTCACTGATGTTTTTCATCTTTCCCTAGGATTCTGGCCACAGACTGCAATGACATTCATCGTGCGATTCATGAATTGCTACTCTGGCGGAGAGCAGGTGGGGTTTAACGACGACGAAATGCAGTGGTGCTGACATGTATGCAGTGGATTTGGTATGCGAAGTTCATGGGACTGCAATGAGACCGCCAGCAGTTAATGTGCATGTAGAATCAGTAAAACAGCAATGCTGCATGAACTTGATGTCAATTCAGAAACCTCGTCAACACATCTGCGTTCTTTTTTTGCATGTTCAATCATTTCTAAGATAGTTTCAAGCCAGCAGGGTTTAGTCGAAAAGTGAAAATCCCATGTCCTCCTCCTCTTCGGGCTCGGGCTCGGGAGCCTTCTTTCCTCCAGCTGGGGCAGCACCACCACCAGCAGCTGCGAAGAGGACACATGCGTGAGCGAAATCAAAGCCATCCCATAGAAGTCAACACTCAAACCTGGCGCAGCACCACCGGCGGCAGCAGGAGCTCCTCCTCCTCCTCCTCCTCCGCACTGAGCAGCAGCTTTCAAGATTCCAGGGAGATCGGCAGATGCCATCGCCTTCTCAAAGAGAGCTGGGTAGGAAGCATCGACAGAGACGTTGGCCGCGGAAAGGATCTTCTGGATGCGAGCAGCTTCGATAGGATGCCCCTCATCGTGGAGGATCAAAGTTGCGTATGAGCATGCAAATGAAACGTCGTTAAGCTGCAACAGTACAAGTCAGAATGAGCTGAACCTTGTTCAAGGTGAACACAATCCTGACTTTCAGTTATTGCAACCTATCACTCGAGTCCTCTCACCAGACACTGCCTCACACACATTTTCATCTTGCGATGCACCATGACACTCAGATCTTGGTCAACCTCGTGTCTACTGCACAGCTCAAACAACTGTCCTTGCCATCTAGGTTCTGTTCCAGCAAGACTGTTGTGACCCCCATCACACGGGCCAAACAACCGTTCAATGCACGAACAAAACAATCCATGCAATCCCTCGTTAAACACGTAGAGGATTCATCATGCAGTTTAGCAAGCCCATCAGTCCACAAGCAACGCAATCAAAAGACGACCGCACGTCCTTCTCATGTCCTTGCGACAAAAAGCTAGGAATGTTCACTGGTACTCCTGACCGTTCTTGTCCTCAAACTAGCCACGGGAACAGTCTGCCCCTGCATCTCGACTCAAGCTTATCATCTACTCTCGTCTCTCGTTCCCGTGCCTCTTCTCCTCCTCCTCCTCCTCCCGCATAGCTGTCCCATCGCGCTTCCCATCAAACTTACCACGCTCATGGCTGCTTCCTCACGCGTGTCGCGTGCTTTTTTTCTCTGTAACCGATAATGAACGGTCTTGACCCTCATCCCCACCTTGACCGTTCTGTCTCAGTGACCGACGCGCCGCCGCTGAGACGGTGCCACAGGCTGAGTCAGCCCGCACCGGCCCGTCCCTTCAAGTCTTTGAGTCAGGGCCGGGCCGTGTCCGAGTCGGCGCACAGGCTTCCGACAGAGTCAGTGATCCCGGCCCGTCCGAGCCCTGAGTGCGAGAGCCCGGCCACCGTCGGGGCCGCTTTGCGGCAAGCGGCTGACAGTCACCCGCTGCTCACTGGCAGTCGGGCGGCGGCGCGGCGCCGTGCCGGGCCCGGCCCGCGGGGTGCCGCCGCGGCCGCCGGCCGCCACCCGGTGGCGGGTGACCGTCGGTGACACTGGCAGTCACAGGGGCTCGGCACTGGCGGCCCGCCCGCCCCGCGCGCCCCTAGCCGCGCAGGCTCGGACGGTGCCGCGGCACTGCGCGCCGCGGCACTGCGCACAGTGTGCCGCGGCGCAGCCGCAGTGACTGCCGCGGCTGAGTCACGGCACAGCACGGTGACGGCCGGCTCCCCCCGGGGCGGCCGCCCGCCCGCGGGGAAGCGGGGGCCGGGCCCCGCGACGGTCGCCGTACGGTACCCGCTGCTCAGTGTCGGAGTGCCGGGCGGCCCGGGGAACGGCATCACGCCCCCCGGCCCTCTGCCGCAGGCTCAGCTCGGACCGTACGCCGGTCACCGTACTATCATGCCGGTCCGTCCGAGTCCGGGAGTCCTCCGACGGCCCGGCCCGGCCGCCCAGGCTCAGCGAGTCCGAGTGAGCCGGCCAGTGGCGGCTCGGACTCGGCGTCCGTCGGAGAGGCTGTGTGCCAGTCCCCCGCGTTCGGACTCAGCCTGTGACAAGCGGGCCTGTGAGGACACTGCGCCCAGTTGACAGCCAGCCAGTGCGGCACTGCGGCGGCAGCGGGCTGGTTTCGGAGGAGTCTGAAAGCCCGATTTCGGCCCGCCGCAGCGGCCGGCTCCGACTGTTGGCAAACCGTGAACTGACTCGGTTCGGTGCCCCTGAGTTCAGCCGGCCGCACCGTCGCCGGGTCGGGGGCATATCAGAACTCACTGAGTCAGTTCGAGTCCGGCGGGCCGAGTCCCAGTACGATAACTTGTGCCATCACGGTCATGCCAGGAACTACTAAACTAAACGGTTGGCTGACTCTCAGCAGAAGTTCAAAGTCATCACGGCGGAGTCCTGTCTGTTGTTTCAAGTTTTGTTTCAATAATCGTACATCCCTCGTCCTCCCATCCCTGTCCTCCTCCTCGCCGCGTCCGCAGTCGCTCGCTCCCACATGTTGGCAGCTCCTCCTCCTCCTCCTCCTCCTCCTCCTCCTG